ACTTCTGAAACAGTGGTAAAACTAAGCAGCGCGAACAGATAAACGACAGGCTGACGGACATCATTATCCACGTACGCAAATCTACTGAAGACATAAACGACATTGCAACAAACCCGGATGAACGACCTAAGGACCTTTAACTGTTTATGTTCTATGATTGACCGACAACCTCAACATATATGTTCATATGCTGGAACAGGCTAATCAGTTCATAACTCATCACATACGAAAATTCGGGGGCTCTGACTTGTCCCTTTGCTCTCAGTTGTTCAAGAAGATCATTTAAGCAGGTCACCGCTTCATAACATTTGAGCGAATACAATGCTCAATGTATCTTGTATCATACTGCTAGCTATAATAACTTTATAACGATGTTTCAGGAGCTAATACTGCTTAAACAGGAAAGGGGCGGTACAATAAGGCGTAAAATCGATTCATAGGGGAGTTTTAAAGGGATTAGGAGTTAAAATGCTGCTGCTCATCAGCAATGTTTGTCAATCGAAACGCAAACTTATGCTGATTATAGCTAGCAAAATTTCAACCCCGACGGACTAAGAACAGTTTTAACAGAAAGCAGTTGGTATTTACCTCTAAGCTGACTTTTAGGCCCAACCACTCCATGACTTTGATGGTCGAATTGCAACCGCATGACAACAGATAGACACCGAGAAGCGCCTCGACGCAATCAGCTATGCATTTGTCTGACAAACGGTTCAGCATGAACTGGTCGCTTAGCGACGAGGATGCCACATCCACCGCTGTTGCACAAGGACGGTTTTCGGCTTCGATCAGGTCGTTCAGCATGGGTAGGTCTTCCTCGGACAATCTGCCGACAAGCTGCCGTAGGCCATCCATTTTTTCATCCATCAGTTTACCGTTTTCGTTCTCTATCAGAGCAGCGGTCTTACTGATATCCGCTACTACGTAGCCGGGAGGCAGCCAGTTTTCAGTCGGCAGGAACTGATGGGCAATCAGCATTCCGGGAAGATTCTTGTTTTTCCCTAAGCGGTAGAGATTATAATTGCAGACCTCCTTGCTGCGCAGCATCGAGAGCCGACCTTCATGATAGGTGGGATACTTCTTGAAGCAGTACACAGAAGTCGAGTACTTGAGGAATGAATCACCCAGAATTTCTAATCGCTCCAAGTTTATGCCATCTTGGGCGCTGAGCAAAGTTATTGCCGCCAATAGCTGCGCTGGACTAGGACCGAAGGAACCTTTGTGGGAAAATGACCTTATTTGCGGTTGCAGCCACTCAAAGTCATGCTTCTCTGAATGCAGAGTGTGTTGAACTTCACGGCGTGCCACGGAAATAGTTTCACCGACATTAACTGCTAAGGTGCCCTTCTTAGCCACCTTCGAAGCCACAAACTCATCGGTCCGTTCATTGTGAGAAAGCGGATATCTTACACTTCCTATCGCCTGTTTACGCTGAGCAAATTCAGTCTTTGGATGGCAGTCGAAAAAGGGTACATTATCCTGAATATGCGAGAAAGAGTTTTCAAACTCTAACAGATTTGATAATATCGCTGTCGATACGAAATCTGTATCAAAAGTTTCACACTGAAGATCAGAAGACGTCGTCAAATCGTCAGCTTCTTCACCGGAAGACGCATCGGAAAATTCGTCCTTAAAATACACCTCATCTAGTAAGTCCACTATGTCAGTTTTTGACCCTTGATCGCTTCTGCCATCTGCAGCACCTTCAAGGGGAACTGTCGCAGAATCATCAGAAGACGGTCGTTTTTCACTGTCGTTTAAATCATTTGGGTAGCTCGTGCTTTGATGGTCATAATCGTCTACAGAAACGGTCGACGGCTCAACAAAAGCATCGAAGCGTTTCTCGATTTCTTCAAGAATGCATCGTTCCCGCACGTTCTTCGTAACATTAAGCTCATAGTGTAACGGTTCCCATGCAAAGTCGTCAGACAACGTTTCGTCGAACCGAAAGACTTCACGTAAGATTCGTCGACGAAGGTCTTCGGCAAGCAGCAGCCCGTTCAACCTAAACATAGATTTCTGCATTAAAAAAA